CCGTGTCGGTACACGTATTATTAATTTTACACGGTAAAATAATAGAACATATAATATTTATATTGTATAGATAGCGTTTCAATAGTACCACATAACTGGTATAATAAATTTAATGTAATGCATGTGTACGTGTATCAAAACTCGGAAATTATTAAATTTTGGTAACCTGATAATATAACAAACGGTAAATTCGTCCTGCGTGTAGGTACACGGTGGTTTTCTTGTTCTTATTATTAATTTGTTCACTCATACATTATTCATCGTTGTCGACCGATTATTTTACGATACGTAACGGAAACCACAAATATTATAATATATTATTATATTACGACAGTAACAATATTGGCAGTGTTTATAATAATTTATTAGATAAACGAAATTAATAAAAAAAAACACGTCAAAGTATCTCTGGTCCCAGACTCCCAGTGAAGGACCCGAGTCGATTTTTTATAATTTTCAATATAAAAGCGAATTCAATTTCGAAAAATTGCTAAATGACGTATATAGTGTAGTAACATGATTGCTAAATGACCTAACCTAAATTATAAATGACTTAAGTCGTATAATTACACGATCTTTTTTACCAAAAAAAAAATACATTATAGTGACTTGGGATAATTTAATTTTCAGTATAACGCGTGTTAAACATGTAGGAATACGAATAAAATACTTATGATATTTAGAGAAGAAAAATATATTGGAAAAAATTAGAAAACTATGTATATGTACAAAAAAAAAAAATTGTCATAAATTGACGATGGCTTAAATTGATTTAAACCCTTCTTCTCTGGTTATTTACAAGGCTGAGCAAGTTAATGCACATTTCTATTTTTATTAATTTTAATCAATCTGCGAATAACTTGAAATGAGGTAATTGTTTTGTTTATTTTTTGTTTGGGGAGGGGCTATTGTAAAATTGTTATTGTTGTAGTGAATCATTTTCACTGATAGTTATTAAACCTGGCGTTTACATTTTTTCGAAAATATCGCTATATGTTATAAACGCGAGGGGATTTATTTTCTAACAGTTTTACCTTGTATTATATTATGCGGTTTGCTGTTTGAAAACTTACTGTAAATTATATTAGAGTAGTACAACCGTGACATTTTTGTACGTATTTTTTTTCACATCATCCGTAAAATTATGCTTTTATATAAACATATCTGAGAAATCGCGTCGGGTTCGCATTCTATCTAAGACGTGATTTAATTATTATAATATATTATATTTTATATTGTCAGTTTGTGCATTTATCCTTCAACGAAACAAGCTTTGCGTACATTATACCTACACACACGACACACACACACACACACACACACACACACACCGTTCTATCGCTAATTTATATAATATTATGCATTCCTTATTATTTTATTTTTATTTTTTGAGGTAGGTTAGTAATTTACTAATATTTATTGTATGTATATATTGTGTACATAATATATGGACGTGTAACTACCAAGAATTATTTCACGGTGAGGTGTATAATATATTTACTTATAAAAATAATTACTTTGAAAAATCGCCTTTTTATGATAATACCATATGTAATTTTTTGAATTTTATTACATACAGGAACCTACGCGATTCGTTTTTTTTTTTCCCCATAGTAATTAACAATAATATCCTTGCCTTTCAAAATTCGAAAATAAACGACGAACTCGTCGCAGGAACGGTTTACTGTAGGGATACATGCAATTCGCGCCCCGGAGTAGCAGAAATGCGTCCCGAGGGATGCGGACAGATGCGCCCGAATGATAAGATACTACCTGTCGATTTATAGCCCATATGCGCCCATTTCGCAACGTTACAGTCGCGATTTATATACACATATAATATATATATATAATATTTTTTTAATTCTGAGCGTAACAAGAAAATGTATCTATCGGTTTTACAATAATGTATTACAGGGTATTATATTATGTGAGGTATATACCAAAAGTTAAAAAAAAAAAAGATACGGGCATATTTCGCACGATGGACGGGTCATTTTTGTATGCGTGAAGTTGGGAAGGTAGAGGGGAAATTTAATATTAATCTGTACGCAACGATTAACCGTTGCTAACGAAAAACGATTCTGAATGGATTTCGGTTGATAATGTTGCTTTGTAAACAATTTATATGTTATATTATGGTAAAATAATTACATACGCATTATATTATATTCTTTAATAATATTCGATTAATATAATGCCTATTTTTTCGTCTTTCCTACGTTTTCCTATTTATTATGAAAACAGCTGGGGACATCAAAAAATGACCTCTTTAAAATTCCTCCCCAGTCAGATTCTCTTTTAGAAAAAGTACTATAATTGAAAATCGGAGTAAAATTGTTCGTAGAAAAGTTGTTCACAGGAAAAAAAACCATTGTAAAACCACAAAAAATCTAACTCATTTTTAGAATTTAAAAAATACTAAATTATTAGAAAAAAAGTAAGTATGTAGATTGAGTAGATTGCAATAATTTTGATTGGTTTACAAATGTCAAACCATTTTGTTCAGTCTCTGCGTGGGCATCAGACACAGCGACAAGTCTCATATAAGAATGATTGCGTTTATCAAAAACACAGGATCATTCGGCACAAATCAAAAAACATACGTATATGCTAATTCGATCTACAGCATTATTATCCAAAATTATGATCGACCATTACTTATTAATTTCTATAATATTTATTCACAAGCGTGTAAACATATGTAATCTGAAATATGTAAATAATACTTAATGACACGCCAATGACCCAACTGTCAACGCGTTATTAATAGAAAATAAATTAAAAACATGTGTAATACAAGTACTTTTGTAAAATATTTAGAGATACAAGATAATAGGTACTTAGCTATTTGTATAGCAATCCGTTTTTTTTTTTTTTTAATGACATTTGAGTCTTATACCTACCTAAAATTATATTTCGTTTACTTTGCATCGAACCGTTAATGATTATAAATTATTAGATTTTTTAATTGTGCGGTAATTTAGTCTTCTCGCTGGACCTTCAAATTATTAATTTGGTGTATAAACACTCATATAAAAACGAAAAAAAACCAACAGGAAATGTTTAAAGCTGTGTATTTTAAAAAAAATTAAATGTTCGTGTCGGCAATGTACCCACATGAGTATATTATAATCGGCTTTAATTGTTTGAAAAAACAAAACGAAAAATATAGATATTTACGGTGTAATAGTTGTATACACATACATATTAATTATTATTCGCGTTGCAATTATTCGTCGGAAAAAGTTGTTTGCGTGCAAATAAATTTACTGGATGGTTTTTCAAAACAAAAAATTTGCAATATTCAAGGTGATTTATCTTTATGAGTATAGAAATCCCGTGACACCATGTTCGTTCGCAGTGATCAGCTCCGAAACCGCTAATCCGATTTTTGTGAAGTTTCGTGAATGTATATGGTTTGGTCCGACTCGAGAAATAGGATAGTTTTTATTAAGGATCTTCAATATTTTTAATTGCGAATTTCATGATTTTTTTTATAGGACAAATTTAAATACCCACATTTATTTTAACTACTACTCCATCTATTTGTGGAATTTTTTTACATAGGTCACCATTTGAAAAAAACCAAAGTAGATAATCGTTTCACTCTCAAAAATTAGGTTGACAAAAAATAATGTAAATGTTAAATTTTAGAACAGCTTGTTTCTTAAATGTTCTTTAAAACAAATTGCGAAAAATGTTAACACTTTCCGAGATAATGAGTGTCTTACGTTAGATTGATCACTCCTTATTATAGGTAACTGAAATGTAAAGCGATTTTAACTGCAGTATTCATATATAAAACGGTTATCTTTACCGATATATTAATGTCGATAGATTTAATCTAAGTAATATTATTGTAGCAATAACGTAATAATTATTATTTCGAGCGAACCGTGGCCATTGAAGACGTTCAACGTAATATATGTGCCGTAATTAATAATCAAAAAGGTTAAAAATCGATTTAAAGGGTCTAATGCGCGCGCGGGGATGAGAAAAAAAAATATATATCTACTCTCCATTCCTTCGTCGTAATATTATTATATTATTAAAAAAAAAAAAGGAAAAATAACAAATCCATAAAATAAAAACAACAACATTAACTAAAAAAAAATATATAGTTACGTATTATCTATAGTTTTGTGTAATGATAGATAAATAATATAATATATACTTTAGTTTAGGCAGGGAGAGAGTTGTAGTGGAACATTGTTCAAAAACCGCGCCGTGCCACCACACAAAGCGCATTGAGTTTCACATTGCTCTCCCCTCGCCCAAACTAAAGCATTTTTTCTAAAAGGAAATATGATTGAGGTGGCACTTTAAAGAGGTCGTTTTTTGATTTTCCCATGAACCTACCCGTAGCATGGGAAAAACCAGGGAAAACCATGGGAAAACGAAAAAATAGGTACAATATTAAACAAATATTATTAAAGAAAATGTTTGATGCGAATGTAATTATTTTACCACAATATGACATATTTTACTATATTGTTAACAAAGCAACACTATCAACTGCACTTCCCTCAGAATCGTTTTTTCGTATTATCAGTGGTTAATCGTTGCGTACATAAACTCATTAAATTTCTCCTCTACTACTTTCCCAAATTTTCATCTATAACAGTGGCCCGGCCACGTGGAAAGTATGTCCATATTTCTTAATATTAGTCGTTTCCGTACATGCCCGTGAATATTATATCCGTGGTGTAACTGTTATCTTCGCGGCCGCGTTGTTGTTGCTGTTCGGCCGCGATGATAAGACAACGGGTCTCGACCGCGAAAGTGAGACGCGATATCATTGCTGCGTTGTAAAAAAAAGGGAGGCGTTTGAGAGTTGAAGTATTTGTACGATTGTAATCATTTGTAAAATGGGAATCATGCCGAGAAAACGGGAGTCATATCGGTTTTAGCTATCCGGTTCTCCGGGCGTGATAAGAAAAACGCCAGAAAATCGAGACCTAGGTGTATTTGCACCTTCGTTCGACACCCAGGTGTACTTGCACCTTCGTTCGTTATGTACAAATCTCGTCCGAATTCCAGACCTAATCGCAGTAGTGATTCCAAGGGAGTCGATGAACTGAGGGCGAATCTAAAACCTATAACATCTTTTGTGCGGTCGAAGAACCACGTTGGGCCTAAACAAAAAGTAGGAGGAGAAATTCGCCAAAACCGCGTCGGGAAGGCCTGCGCATTTTGAAGTCACCGTGGTCCGGGCCCGCCCGCGATCGTCGGCGTCGTATTTCGATTCGTACCGGTAATAAATTCAAATTTTTAACACCTCAAGTCGAATCTCTTAACTCTTCCTATTTAAGGTCGCGCTTCTTATCACCCCGGAAGAACTCCGGTTACACGCCCTGTGCACGCGTTGGTGCGCCACGGAGGCTTTCCGCGGAGAGGCGTGTCAACCCGCGGGAAAGTCACGGCCGGCCTATCGCCCGTTATTATTAGGTCACGTTTTCACCGTTCCCGGCCGTAATGATATCACGAGTGCGGCCGATAAGGTCGACTCCGTCGCGTTTACGAAACGTCTCCGCCTCTACATAATGTGTACGTGATGCATACGGTATTATAAAGCGCGCACCCGCTTCACGAGCGGATACCTATACCCGATTAGTCTCCCGCGCGAAAGGCCCCGGTGGTCACGCCGTATCGGTTTACAATAAAAAAAAAAAATGTAGTATTTCTACGTTGCGATACACAATTTCATTTTTTTCCCCTGTTTGCCTATCTGACCTGATTTCGGAATTTATTTAGTTCTTACGCGGCTATTATAAGCAAAACTGAGCTGATACTGCTGAGTATTATTAGACGTATTTTTTCCCTCGTCGTCTAGGTTACACAAAAACCGACAACAATTTTACAAAACATCGTCACTTTTTCCCACTTGTTAAGGAAACTACAAGTAATATATTTAAAAAAAAAAAAACCTAGCCAATACCCCAAATAGATCAATACGTCACAAGAAAGTTTCTGTAAAGTTTTCGGTTGAAATAAAATTTAGAGAGAACAAGTTGTTAACAGACACAGCATAAACACATCACAGTTACACCAATACAATGTCCAGAATTTCTCATATTCAAAAACAAATAAACAAGTTAGGTTTTATGTTTTGTACATTTTCGAGGAATAACTGTTCTTTATCTCTTAAAAATATTCTCCTTTTTAAGCTTTTTTTTTATGCTTAGGCTCTATAATTTCAACCTTTAATGCCACAATTAACGTTCGAAGTATAGGAGAGTAATTTATAAGAGAGTATAAGTATACTTTTGTACGTAAGATTTTTGTTATAAAATAAATTATTGAATTCGACTTTCGTATATCGAATTACGGTCTCGTTGAGCAAACCAGTTACAAACTATATACACGCTATATATATATTAGTTTTTAAATTATAAATCGCTGTTATATTGGTTGAATTATATTTTCACTATATTGACTTTTTCGATTTTGTTTTTTTTTTCTTTTGGTACAATAAAAACTCTTGAAAAGTTTAATCTAACAACTTTTCTGTAATGTAAAAAGATAATGGGAAACGCGCGGTCTCTCGAGAAATATTATTTTTCAAAATTTTTAGTTCACGGTACCTTATTTACTATAGAATCGGAAATGAATTGTCCTAATTTTACTCCATAATATTATGTGTATTTCTTAAGTATTTTTATAAAAAAAAAAACCACTATCGCGTCCAGTAACCTTCCCGTATACGTATTTTTAATACGATAGTCGCGTATAATAATCGTATAATTTTGCATATTTTAATAATTAAACGAGCCGCGGTATTTCAATAACTATTAATTACTTATATCTATAAGACTCGGTATTATACAGAGCGGTTATTAAACCGCGATCCGTTGCCATTATCGTATTATCGATCCGTCTACATCTATCCACCCATGTTGCCCGGTTGAAAATTCTAATCTTTTTATACACGGTTTATCCAGTAGTTAGTGTGTTACGTACATTAGTATTTTTAGAAAAATATTTTTCATATCTATAATGAAAATCAAACGTTTAAGGCATATAAAAAGACGGGTATACTTCGCACGTGTGCGGGTCACTGTTGTTGGTGAAAAGTTGGAAAGATAGTAGAAGGGAAATTTAATGTATACCCATACGCAACGATTAACCATTGATAACGAAAAACTTACTCTGAGCGGAGTTTGGTTGATATAGTGTTGCTTTATCAATATAATCTGTTTCTTTACGTCTCCATGCGTCCCTATCGTTGCTCAGTTCCTTTAACTCTTTGTAATTATTATTCCCAGCGTTTATCATGATTTGCTTCATATACTTCATCCTTGGTTTTCCTCTTCTAATATGAACTTCAACGTAGCCTTCTGTGTCACGTATCGATAGGCTATTACGGTGTAGTAGAAGTCTTATTTTGTCTTTTCTAACTTTTATGGTATACCAAAGTACTCTCTTTTCTTTTATTCTATCTATTACGGCTTCATTCGTTATTCTTTTAATAATATACCAATATATTATATTATGGTAAAATAATCACATATGTATTGTATATTTTTTTTTAATAATATTTGTTTAATATATAATTATTTAATTTGTACTTATTTTCCCGTTTTTCCCTGGTTTTCCTATGATTTTTCTCATTTATTGGTAGAAAACTCCTGGGAAAATAAATAAATAAACTTTCTAAAGTATCTTTGCAGTCAAATTTCCTTTTCGGAAAAAGTGCTGTCATTGTAAATCGGAACAAAATTGCTGGTAAAAAAGTTGTCCAAAGAAAAGAAAACACAAAAAATAAACATCATTGTAAAACCAATACAATCCTCGCTCCACTCAGAATATAAAATATGAAAATATCACAGTTTATTAGATTCCGTATATCGTGTGGACCATTTATTGATGCATCTACCGAGCTGCTCCTCTTGCAGAGTTCTCCGTTATTACCTGCATATTCCGTTTTTTATTCGAACGTTAAATTATGTTTTACAGAAATTACGTCCAATCATAATAAATAATACAATGTAGTGTATATGTTTTCGCAATATGGTAATAAAATATTGGCTCCGAGTCCGCGACTGCGTACAACTGATATTCGATTGTAAAAATGTCAAAACAAGTATAATTTTTATCACCATATTATTATAATACGCTTTAATGTCACTCGTTCTTATATTGTCTTTCCTAGAAAACGAAACGTTTCTATACATGTATGTCCTGTAAAATAACATTTATGTGACCAGCTACCGGTGTTACGCCTAATAGTTTTTTTAATTTTTAATTTTACTTTACTTATACACATCGCATTACACGGTATGTAATTGAATATTTTAAATTTCAATCAATACGTATGCGTTTGAATTTGAAACAAAAAAAACCATCAATAAGAATCTATACTGTTGTTATAGACAGAATTCAAAGAAAATATTATAATATGCAATATATAATAATATAATTGACAATAAATATTATCGGACGTGCTGTGATAATGATATAGGAATTCGATTTTAGATTGCAGGGTAACGGCGATAAGCGTCAGATATCATGGAATAATATGATTATATATTCTTATTGTTCATCCTTATTCCGGAAAACGTTCGGTAATGATATAATATTATGTAGATTGGACAATTATTTTACATTCTAAGCGAAGTTATCGATAGCTTTTATATATAGTTTTACTAAGACGGATTTTAGATTCTGAGTTGAGCAAGGAACATGTTAGTTGTACAATGAAGTTTATTTTTTATTTTTTTTTAACTGTGAACAACTTTTCTACCAGCAATTTTTCTCCGATTCATAATTATAGCATTTTTTTTTAAAAGGAAATCTGACTGGGGTAGTTCTTTAAGGTCATTTTTTTATTTTCGCATCAGAAGTTTTCCCAACAAATGTAAAAACCTAGAAAAAACGGGAAAGTAAGTACAATATTAAACAAATATTATTAAAGAAAATGTTTAATGCATACTTAAATATTTTACCATTATATGATGTATATATTGTTAACAAAACACCGATTAACAAGCAACGAAAAAACTATTATGAGCAGAATTAGGTTGATAGGGTTGCTTTGTCAACAATATATATGGCATATTACGGTAAAAATAATTACAGAATTCAATTTAAAAAAAGTGCTATCATTGTAAATCGGAGAAAAATTGCTGGTAAAAAATTTTTTAACAAATATATCTAATGAAATTTTATCAATTTTCTCGTTTTTACTGTTTTTCCGGCTTTTCGCATTTACTGGAAAAAATCCTGGGAAAATTAAGTACCTCGTCCCAGTCAAATTTCCTTTTCGGAAAAAGTGCTGTCATTGTAAATCGGAGCAAAATTTCTGGTGGAAAATTTATTCAAAGAAAATAAAAATATAAAAAAAAAAATAAAAATCATTGATAAAACCAAAACATTCCTCGCTTCACTCGGAATTCAAAACTTTCAGACATCCTGTTAATTCAATAATATTTTAAATATTATTATGTGAGTATGCAGCGTAAGTACTAAGTATATACCAAATGATTCATTCAAGTGGGTACACTCATTATCTCGGAAAGTATTAATTTTTTTTGGAATTCGTTTTCTAGAAACAAGCTGCTCTAAAATTTTATTCTTATGTTATTTTCTGTCACCCTTATTTTTGGGGGTAAAACTACTACCTACTTTTGATTTTCAAATGGCAACCTATATTAAAAAAGTCCATAAATAGATGGAGTATTAAAATTAATTTTAGTGTTGACATTTTTTATTTCCGTTGATCCGTTGACGAGATATTCCACTTTTAAGTATGCGTTGGAGGAGAGTAGTGGAATGTCATTTGTGTGGCGGTACGGCGCGCGACCTGTTATTAATACACCGCTACTCTCCTCCAACCAAAAATTAAAAGTGGAATATCTCGTTAACGGCTCGACAGAAATAAAAAATGTCAACACTCAAATCTATTTTAGCTAGTACTCCGCTTATTTACGGAATTTTTCATGTACGTTTCCAGTTGAAAATCAAAAGTAGGTAGTGGTTTTGCGCCTAAAAATAAGAAAAAAACAAAAAATAACACACGCATAAAATTGCAGAGCTGGTTGTTTCACAAACGTTCTAGAGAACGAATTCCGGAATAAGTTAATACTGTCCGAGACATTGAGTGTACCCGCGTAAATGAATCGCCCGGTACTCCAACGCGCTCCAGTGACGGTAACTAAAGCGTTCCGCTCCGTCGGTCCGCGCACCCGGTTCGACCCGCGACTCCCGCAGCAATCCTTCGGCCATTTGCGAAAACGGCAATGTGTTTCTGGGTCGCTCGCAAGCCGTGCTCCTGCGGCGTGTTCGACGACGCGGATTTTCACGACGCGACGCACGCGAAGCGAAATCCCAAAGCCGCGTTACGTTGTCCCGTGCAGCGTGTCGTACGGTCGGCGTCACGCGCGCGTGTTGTGATGCGCGATTTGCGCGAGTGAGTTTACCGCAGTTCTCGCGCGCAGACGGAATCGGGTCGCAAAACTTATTCAACGTCGCGTCCGGAGTGCACGGCTATACGCACGCGCGTGTTATTACACACGCGTATATAACAACAATACGTGTATAGTAGTCGTGAGGGACTCGGAGCAAGAGGAGCGGCAGGTATATATGCGTGTAACGCACGGTAGGAAGAGCGATAGAGAGAGAGTGAGTGAGTGAGTGAGTGAGTGAGTGAGTGAGTGAGTGAGAGAGAGAGAGAGAGAGCGAGAGAGTAGCCGGATGGTTAATTTAATTTCGGAACCGTCTTGGCGCGAAATGAGAAATTCGTACATGCATATACACAACAGCGGCACTATACCATATACGTAGTACGAGCGCATTTATATTTATTCGTGTATATATATATATATATATATGTATGTGTGTACGGTACACCTTCATCTCATCTGCGCATTGCATGTATACCACGCCATGGTATAGACGTATATACCGGCACAACCGTTCGGCCAAATATCACTCGGGGGAAATACGCGTACATTACACATTATACAATATGCGCACCGGTATAGATATACATACATGTATATATATATGTGTGTGTGTGTGTGTGTGTGTGTGTGTGTGTGTGTGTGTGTATTGCAGATCTTGAGTTGAGGGTTTGAATTCCGTAAACGCGGTATTCCGGGGGGGAGGGGGGGGGGCTCGATGCGACCCGGGAAAAAAAAAATGTGTGTATACGCTTTTTTCCCCCCCTTCCACGGGTCTATAAATCGCGGTTCGCGAAGTATATAAGAACGTGTTTTTCAACGATTCCCGGGGCAACGGGAAAACTCGCGACGCCGAGATTTCTCGAATACAATGCGCGCACACATAATACCGGAAACGTGTAGTATTCGTCGGCGTCGTCGTCTAGCTGTTACCTCGTAGGCGCAACTAGACCCGCAACGCGACCTTGTACGTTACACGGAGTATTTCGTCAAAATGAGTTTCGGCAGAGAGAGTTTTCGCTGTTCGCGAATTCTTGAAATTTCATACACGATAATATTCAATAATTTTATTTAACAACGTATGTACGCATAAAATATATGAAACTTAAAATATCGTAGACCGGGCTGTCTGGAGGGAATAATAACAACATAGGATGGAATTCGAAATATATGTCCACAGACTTCTCTGCGATCGAGAAAAAAGTGTACACGTAGTTCATAGCGTCCGTGCAATTCCCATTTATAAATTTGTTAAATTGTTTCCATTTGTATCCATCATCGTTGTCGGGGAGATTAGTTTCGGACCATTCCGAAAAATCTTTTTAAAAAAAATTGTTTTCGTGCTGAGGAATGATGTCGTTGAGACTTATATTACCGCTGTCGTCTATATTTTGTATTCTATAAATGATATACTTTATGTCATCAGATGGTTGTGGTTCATTCTGTGAGTCTTTATCGGTGTATAAAGGTAAATAAATACTCAATAACTTTTTTATCTAAATTTTACTACCTAAAAACCAAAACGAATAACTTATGAACGATTATAACCATTCTATCCGACTATCCTATATCCTAGTTACCGAAAACACCCACCTACCAATATTATAATGAGTAGCAAAACAGCTGAACTTGAAAAATAATTAAGGTGCCACTGATGTTAATATATGATTATAAGCGTACAATAGAAATTGCCGGTGCTTTTACATACTTTTCATTTAATTACTTGTAGTAATAGCGATATTGAAAATAAAATATGTGAACTAATTATGCTAAACTTTTATCGTTTTTTTCACAGTTACTCGTAATTTTTCGACGTTTTTAGGAGAAGTACTAAATCTATTAAAAAATGACCGACAAAATTGTTCTAATCGATGAGTGGTTTATCAACAATAAACTTATACAAACGATTATCATAATAGTATAGTAAAAAATTTGTTACTACATCCATTATCTAAAAAAGAATTAACTAACTATTGGTGTTACGAATATAATTCGTTTTATTGAATGAATAACAAAGACTACAATAAAAAGTAAATTTATAAAATTGAAAGAATAAAACGCTTATTTCTAATTACTATATAATCAGTTAATAAAAATATGTAAAAAAAAAAAACCATATTGATATTTTTCAGTCGTAAACAAATATTCATAACATAAAATTTAGATTTTACTATTTAAAAAAAAATATAAATCAACATCATTGACTAGATTTATAAAATTATAAATACATTTAAGGAAAATACGGACACACTTAATAAACACGTTAAAAAGAAAATTTAAATGTTAATAATTTGTATCAGAATATAAAATGAATATAAATTAATGTCCATCGCTTAAATTTGTTAAATTCATAAAAAAAAAAACTAAACACTACATTCACAAAAATATTACTATTGAATTTTAAATAAATCCAATAAGAAAGTCTTAAACTTTCTTTTGTATCCTGGTGAACTTGAACCAATAACTACGCTTTCAGAACCGGCTTCTGTATTTTCATGCTCCTTTTTAACTACGATCATAGGCTTGTTAGCGGATTTAACTTCAAAAATATTTTCCGGACAGTACTGTGAGTACATAGTAGTAGCAGACTGGAATTCGAAATTTATGTCCATGGACTTCTCTGCGATACAAAAAAAAGTACTCATGTAGTTCATGGCGTTCATGCAATTCCCATTTATGAAAGTGTTAAATTGTTTATGTCCATCATCGTTTTTGGGAAGATTAGTTTCGGACCATTCCAGAAACTTGTCTTGTTCGTGATTTGGAATGATGTCATTGAGACTTATATTACCGCTGTCGTCAATATTTTGTATTCTATAAATGATAGTTTTTATGTCATTAGTTGGTTGTGGTTCATTTTGTGAGCCATTATCGGTGTATAACGGTAAATAAAGATATTTATAAAATAATTTCGTCCCATCGGTATACCACCGAACACTATCCCGTATGCTTTGTAAAACATGGGAATCAATGCTAATACCTGTGCGTTTTAAGTACAAACCTATGATTTGCGCGTGTATGTAAACGTAAGTATTCATTGCACTGTCTAAATGGTTTACAACCACATTATGAAAACTCCCTATAGAGAACGTGTTTAAACCCCACGGTAATATAGCATAATACGCCACTGATAAACTCATATTTACGTTTTTAATATTTATATTTTTTAATTTTAAATCGTACATGCATTTGTTTTCGATATTTTCGGTAAGAAAATATTTACCACTCAACCACTCAAACGTGGTCCACACGCCCATTCCTTTGTAAAATTGTCTTATAGTATTGTGGGTATTCACTAAATAATTCAGGTACAACGATTTACAGTTTTCGTTTTTTGAATACTTGTCTTCGTTTTTTTTCGGGACCTCAGTGGTTGTTAACAATATATTCCACGTCCAAATGTTTTTCACCGTCTCACGTATACAATTATTCTTCTCGGTTTCGAGATCTTTAACAACAGCAGTATCGTGAAATGCACTGGTGCAACGGACATCAGTGTATCCCTTGAAGTCTCCGCAAAACGTCAAATACGTGCTGAACATTATAGAGTCGTCGTTAACCTCATTTTCTTTTAAATAGACAAGAATTAAAGACATTTTATGACATATTTCGTGTAACATGTCCGTCGGATTGTACGTCTCCTCCAGGTCTTTTTTGGTTGCTTTTGAAAGTTTCTTGGTACCGTTCAATATAGTATTTGTAAAATATTGTTGGAGTTTCTTTAATGTATAAAAAAAAATTTCTTGCATTGTTTGGAGCTTTGACAAATCTTGTGACTGAATTTCAAAATTTGATAAACCGCATTTGTTCCGAAGTTCATTTGTATAATTTTTATTGAGTTCCAGAAAATTTATTTTGTTTTCAGAATTGATATGTAATTCATTGTTTCTGTTACTTACTTTAGTAACCTTGAATTTCATTTTGTTATTATTCAAATTATGTTCAATATAATGGTGCTTTATTCTACCGAGGTTTTTACTCATACATGATATAAAATCGATATTACCAATGATCTTGTAAACATTTGAAATAAAGTTCTTACTGTCATTCTTATAGTTTGGTTGATCAAACAGGTTGTTACGAATTTTTGTTTTATCTTCTGTTATTGATACTATATAGGACAAATTTTGTTCAATGGTCTTATCAAAACCTTCTTTTTCTTTATTATAAGGTGACGCATTGATATATGTCTTCAGATACGTTGGTAATGAATAACAAAGAACTACATGAATTTTGCTCAACATTACTGTTATTGAATTCTGAATTACATTAATATTGATAAAATCCAAACATCTCGGGAGAAATGTACAGATCGTTAAAAAATAGTCTTCGTGAAAAAGTTCAGTTCCATTTCTTTTATCAAACACGTAGGCCATCTGTTGTAATATTAGAAGTAAATCGATTTCAAAAGTGATAAATTCTTTTGATATTTTTCCGAAATCATCACCTTGATTCAGAGTAAGAATTTCTGCCCCTTTTTTGAGATTATATTTTTTTTGAAAAGCCTTTACAATTTGTTTAAACTTACTTTCATTAGTAGAGAATAGGAACATTGTTGTAACTTTATTTGGAATTTCTGGAATAATAACATGCACTATTAACGTATAAAACACCAATTTAAAAGTATTAAATTTCATTGTACGCTAGTAATGTAGGATTAGAAAAAATGTATACCTTGTCTGAATAAAACGTTTGTAAACTCTTATGTACGTGTTCCTGTTTCAGTTGGTATGATTCGAGTCATATCGAACGGTAATTTTTTGAACACTTGATTAAATATATTTTATTGATTAAAGAGGGCTTTTGCTTTATACTGTTAAAATATGTAGGTACCTATTTTGAAAGTTATTTTCTCAACTTGCATTTACATCTTAGTGTTGCAGTTAGTATGATACTGGTATAAAAAGGCTAGTATCTATTCTAACTTATAATGATTTATTAACACAAGAGTCAGGCAGTATTCAGTGATAATTTATTATATGTTTTCTACGTTCCCGATATTCTTTACGTCAAAAAATAATACGAAGCATATGTTATAATAATATATTTAATCAAGTGTTCAAAAAAGTGTTGTTTTATATGACTAGTATCATATTAACGGTTGTGGGTACACTTATGTACGAGTTACTTAAGATTCTATTCAGAATGGGTACACGTATGTATGAGTTACAAAATATTCTATTCAGAATGGGTACACATTTTATCTAGTCCTACAACAGCAGCGTACAATGAACTTTAATGCTTTGAAATTGGGGTTTTATACGTTAGAAGTGCATGCTTTTGTTCCAGCAGTTTTTAATAATTAAAACAATATTCTGATTGCCTGATTATAGAAGTCAGTTTAATTAAATTTTTGAAATAATGTCAAAAGCCTTATATTTTTTATTGAAGCAACAGAAATTATATCTCAAAATGAATGCGATAATTACAGAATGTACCTATAAAATTGATCACTTCTGAAACAGAGTTACTTTTACAGTAAATGGCCTATGTGTTTAAAAAAAGAAACGAAACTTGATTCATTTTGAAGAACTTTATAAGAACGGTTTATACATTGCTCTTGAAATTTTTTTATTTTAGCTGTATTGGTTTGTTTTTAAATTCATCAATAAATGTATTTAGCGAAATTCATATCGTTCTTTGTCACACATTACCAACGTATTATATAAAATATATCAATGCGAGCCCGGATGATATAGATAATAAACTTTTCAATGATAAGATTGTCAGAATATTAACATCTCTACAATAGTTAATAGAAAATATAACAAAAATCGGTACGACCTTATTCGAGGATAAGAGTGTGATTTTTATTTCAGTAGCATACAGTGCCCTGGGTTATAATAATGTGATATCATATTTGAATATAATTCACGGTCTAGAAGAGAAATATATTTTTAAAAATGTATCGCGAACCAACAAAATAAAATTTAAGTTATCTGAAATATGTATCAGAAGCAATAAAATTCAACAATATTCTGAAGACACGGTATATTTTCTGGAAATCAACAATAATTAAGCAAATGAACTTCAAAAAGGAGGATGCGGTTTAAAAAAATCTGAATAGTTGTAACTATGCAAGAAATACTGTAGTCAACAATGCTTTCCTTTTAAAATTTAATATAATAAAACTCTAAGTGTTACTGCTTCTGTCCTCATTCCTTCATGTTAATATACTATATCTGAACGCTCATATGTTTATCATAAATATCATTATGGATTATATATCCAAAAGTATACTTAAAAACAAAAAAAGAAAATTTAATTAAACTGCGTATTTCAACGTCAAACTCCTAACACAGAATACTTGAATCGCGATTAGTGTATTTTTGATTATATCGACCCTAATAAATCATAGTTTTCACTAAGTTTCGATGAAAAAAATTACTATCAATGAATTTAAGTACTATATCTGGTTTATGTGATTAAAATTTGTTTAGACTAAAAAAATACTCATAAATTAATTAAAAATTAATTTTTTGTAAAACCAACGTCACTCTCGAAAACCAATTTAAAATATTTAATATTATTAACATTCGAAAAATCCGTGGAACGTGATGGTATACTCAATATATATTACAACTCTATACGTGCTGCAGCTTTTAAAACAATAGGTTGTTTTCCCTGTTATATATCTAGCTAAATAATTCGGTTGTTCTAATTTACTTGGTTTATTTTCGGTTTTACGTCAATATTTTATTAATTATGTCATCGTTTTGAGATCAACCTTATGATAGAAACGCGATAAATTTTGTATTGTGAAAATTCGTAAAAATTTTCTTATTCACCTATAAATCATTTTTCATTTACAATGATTTATTATTTCATACAGTAGGTAGGCATACCATTTCGATTGTACAGTTTATACTATACCTCCCGAAATTCCCGTCTACACAAGTGATTGCTTCTCCGTGATTATTTTCGAAATTTTGTTTTTATATAAACAATAACGTGAATCTAATGTGAAACAAAAAGTTTATTGTATTAAAAAAATTTCATAATGTATAGAACGGTCAATAATTGACAATTTTTTCCATAGAAAGATCGTTTAGATAACCTACGATGTGATAAACTGACATATCGGACAACATAAGTGTTTCCGTTTTATCGCGCCACGCGTGTGTCCCATACGATAGGTAAAAACGCCGCAATAACCAATAACCGAGTAGTATGAATTTGGCATAACATTGTTAGCAGAATTTTTCGAAAATAAAACTGCCAGTATTAACATTTACTTGCTGTCCAATTGTAGGAGTCCATATAAAATTGTCTTTTTCGTGTTCTGGAATGACGTCATTGAGATATATATTACCGTTTTCGTCTATATTTCGTATTTTATAAATGATAGTATTTATGTCATCATTTGGTTGTGGTTCATCCTGTGAATCTTTATCGGTGTATAAAGGTAAATACAGATATTTGTAAAATAATTTCGTCCCGTCGTTATGCCACCGAATACTATCTCGTATGCTATGTAAATCATGAGATTCGACGTTAATACTTATGCGTTCTAAGAACAAATCTATAATTTGCGCATATTTGTAAACGAAAGTATTTATTGTTCTGTCTTAATGTTGTACAACCACATTATGAAAATTCTCTACAGAGAACGTGTTCAAACCCCATGGTAATGTAGCATAATACGCAACTGATAAACTCATATTTACGGTTTTCATATTTATATTTTTCGATTTTATATCATGCATACGGGTGTTTTGGAAATTTTCGGTAAGAAAATATTTACCTTTCAACCACTCGAAAACATACGCTCATTCTTTTTTAAAATTGTTTGATGGTATTGTGGATATTCTCCAAATAATTCAAGTACAAAATTTTACAATTTTCGTCGGTTAAATATTTGTTTCCACTTTTTTTCAGGACCTCAATTGTGGTTATAAATTTATTTCACGTCCGAATAGGTTTCAACGTCTCTCGTATACAATTAATTTTCTCGGCTTTGAGACTCGTATTTGCTGCAGTTCCGTGAAATATATTGGTGCAAAGGATATCAGTG